GGGGGCTCCTGGACCAGTCCAGGTGGCACTGCAAGTCTTCACTCCCTAAAAACAACTCACAAGTGATGGGAAACCAAGGATTTGGGAAGAACTGAGGCACCCAAACACGCTGCCAGCTGGGGAAAAAGCAGAATGAGAATTCTTTTCTCCCAACAGGATGGGTTTAACTCTTGCCTTTCCAGCACAGGAAGGACATGGACCTGTTGGAGCGGGGCCGGGGGGGGCCACGGAGATGCTGGGAGGGCTGGAGCCCCTCTGCTGTGGGGACACACTGAGAGAGTTGGGGAGGTTCAGCCTGGAGAAGAGAAGGCTCTGGGGAGACCTTAGAGCCCCTTCCAGTCCCTCAAGGGGCTCCAGCAAATCCACCGTTCCCCACGGATGCCTGTGCCTTCCTCCCCACCAGCCACCAGCAACTCCTGGAAAAATCACATTTTGATCCAGCATCGATGCCCGTGATGGCCTGGCCACCATGGGCTGGGGGGGGGACAAGGGAGGAGGGGAGCAGAGAAGGGATGAGGAAGGAGAGGGGGGGCTCCTGGACCAGTCCAGGTGGCACCACGAGTCCTCACTCCCTAAAAATAACTCGCAAGTGATGGGAAACCAAGGAGTTGGGAAGAATGGGGGCACCCAAACACGCTGCCAGCTGGGGGAAAAAGCATAACAAGAATTCATTTCTCCCAACATGATGGGTTTAACTCTTGCTTTTCCAGCACAGGAAGGACATGGAGCTGCTGGAGCGGGGCCAGAGGAGGCCATGGAGATGCTGGGAGGGCTGGAGCCCCTCTGCTGTGGGGACAGGCTGAGAGAGTTGGGGGGTTCAATCTGGAGAAGAGAAGGCTCCGGGGAGACCTTAGAGCCCCTTCCAGTCCCTCAAGGGGCTCCAGGAGAGATGGGGAGGGACTCTGGATCAGGGAGGGGAGCCATAGAACAAGGGGGAAGGGTTTGACACTGAAAGAGGGGAGATGGAGCTGAGCTGTGGGGAAGAACTTGTTTGGTGTGAGGGTGGTGAGAGCCTGGCCCAGGTTGCCCAGAGAA